TAGTATATTATAAATTGTTTTCTGTGTTAGGTTGCCAAAATGTGCTCAGAGAGTGTCTGTGTGCGCCTGGAAAGCAGTGCAAGTACTGCACATTCTCCGATAGTCAGCGCCCAATTCTAGAAAAACTGTTGAAGCCCCAAGTTGTACGTATACTACAAAATGTTCAGGTTGTGCCACCACTTGAAACCGTTCGCGCTTCGATGCCTAGTACTTCGGCGAATGATGTATCCGTGGAAATTGTTAGCATGGGCTCGCAAACGATGCTTAACAATTTTATCGCCGACGGACAAAATGTGTCGAACGATGATGGCGACATCAACATTGAGGCATTGTTAGCATCCCTCAATCCGGACCTGGACAGTGCAACAATGATGGATGCGTACAATGCTTGGCCATCATTGGAACTGAGTTTGTTAGGAGCGGAGTCGAGGCCGTCCACGTCCAGAGCCACTTCGACACCCCAAGAGTCGTTGATGTCTGCCGCGGTCGCGAGTGAACGGTATGGTGCGGACGAGGAACTATATCGCCACACGTGGATCGAAGATTTGCCGTTCACGCAACTTGAACGGGCCGCGTGTGCGCGCGACGTCGAGTTGAGAGAACCGTTGGCACAACTTCAACAGATCGCGATGGAACTCAATCGGATACGTGGATTGAAGATTTGCCGTTCACGCAACTTGAACGGGCCGCGTGTGCGCGCGACGTCGAGTTGAGAGAACCGTTGGCACAACTTCAACAGATCGCGATGGAACTAAATCAGGATACGTGGATCGAAGGATTGCCGCTCATGCAACTCGAACGGGCTGCGAATGAGGAGGGGGCTAGACAGTGAAGGGACAGTTAAGTTAAGAGGGATGAACTGGTTTCGCAATGGGCATCAACTACAGAATGTGCATATTGAGGCGCTGGATCTGCTGATGTTAAGGTACTACATACCGGTAGACATGTAGAGGTGTGACAAAAAAAACATGCAAAGGGTTCAAAACAACGTACAGCAGCTAAAATATTTTTTGTTTCAGATGCGACATAAGCAGATCCACAAGATGGTGTGGTGGCTGCCGCCTCCCCGTGGCCACACTGGATAACGCTAAGCGCAGCCGAATATATATATATATATATATAATGATTTTGTTGCAGGAACAGAGTAAATACGTACACGCTTCACGATGTTCCAATGTCTAAAGTGCGAAAGGACCTTCACGGCGAGAAAAAATTTGTTGAAGCACGGTAGAGAGCGGTGCAGCCAAGATGGTGAGCCAGCATCGAAGCGCATCTGTCTTCGAGATGGAACAGGTATTGAACAATTAGAAAATAAATCGAATAAAATCACTAACAGAATTATCTGTTTCAGCATCCTTTAACCAGGAAGGTGGTACCTCCAGCATTCCCCAATCCCCAAGTCTCGAGGACAGTAATGCATCCTCTTCGCGCCGCACTGCAGACAAGTTGCAATGTTTTCGATGTCAGCACACCTTCTCAGCACGCCATAATTTACTGCGAAATCTTAGAGAGGTCTGCATAAGCGAGAAAAGACCTTCCAAGCAACAACGTATGGAGGGTGAGATTACTAACAATGAGCCAACTATTGCAGATTTCATCACCCAGACAGCCGCAGGTGTAAACATTAGACGAGTGAACCCTGCAACACCCCCCGTCGCAGTGCCTGGAACCAGTCGAATGAGTCCTACACCATCCGACGTCGTAGTGCCGGGCGCAAGTCGAGAGAGTTCAACCACCGGCAACGATTCACAAGCGAGTGCGGGTAGCAGGACAATTCGCTGTGAGAGTTGCAGCTGTGAGGTATCGAGGAATGCACATGCGGCACATCTGAAAAGCATTAAACATAAGGCACCTCTATGGAGACCTTTACAAATAATGTGTCAGTATGTCGAAGTGCATTCCGAGGTAAAATAGTTAGTTATCAAATAACCGCTAGCATAGAGACTTTGAACGTTACTGAATATATGAATAATGTGGCACAGGACTCCATAAACGTAATTGAAAATGAGTTGCATAAGCATACAACACTCAAAATAAATATGGAACTTTTTGGTTTATATTTTACCAGCTAAAAACTGACGAGAGGTAAAGTCCCACAATACGAACAATGTAATAATTACACAATCCTCAAATTTGAATCAAATCTATTATGATCTAGGTAGTAAAATCGAACAAAAATCGAAAGACTTTGCAGAAAAAGACTCAGGGTGGGTGTTGGAAAACATTTTATATTTAGAAATTAATATAATAAATATAATCCGTTGAGGGCAGCAGCATATTTGCCGCTTCCTAAGGAAATCACGAACAAAAAGGCTGTACTCAACATACGTAACACGGATGAGTACTGCTTTGCATGGTCGATTGTAGCTGGTATGATAAAACCAAAGGGTCGAGCGTCACTAACAACGACATATCCACATTTTTCGAACATTCCTGGTTTAAACTTTGCAGGAATGGACTTTCCCGTTGCTCTCAAGTCAATATCAGAATTTGAAAGATTGAATAATATGTCAATTAACGTTTATGGAATAGAAAAGAATTCATTGATGGAAAGTCTAAATATCAGGTGGTAGGACCGTTACATTACACGGCGCAAAACAACCCACTCATCTGAACTTATTACTTATTGATGATTCAGAAGGTAACCATCATTACTGCTTAATTACCAACTTTTCAAGACTCGTTTCAAGTCAGTTGTCACTTAATACGAGAGTAAAGCATTTTTGTGATGGCTGTTTACAATACTTTGCATCAAAAGACAAACTGGAAATTCACATCCAAAACTATTGCAAACACATTTCAGTTAAGCTGCCCCAACTGGAAACCAGAGTTGATCGCCTTGGAAACACGGTAATGGATAATGTGCTGAAATTTGAACAGCATCACAAACAATTAAGACTACCGTTTTGCGTTTATGCGGACTTTGAATGCATCCTAGCTCCGATAGACAATCACTCAAGTGCTTCAGAGGATGTATGTACCATCAAAAAGTATGAACATAGACCCTCCTCAGTTGCTTATTATATTAAATGTTCTTATAATGATTCACTATCCAAGCTCGAACTGTATAGGGGTGAGGATGCTGCACAAATTTTTGTTACGCGTTTAGAGGCTGATCTTAAATTAATATATGATCAATATTTAAAACAAAATGTAGCGATGAAAATGACGGCGCACGATAAAAATCGTGTTTGATAAAGCAGAGGTATGTTTCATTTGTGAACATCCATTTACCGATACAAATAGAAAAGTTAGGGATCACTGTCATTTCACCGGGCAATATCGTGGCGCAGCACATAGCAAATGCAATCTAAACTATAAGATCCCAAAATACATTCCAATATTTTTCCACAACCTCAAAAACTATGATGCACATCTATTCATAAAACACCTCGCTATGAAGCAAGAACAAATTAAAGTGATTCCACAATCTTTTGAAAAATATGTTTCATTTACGAAATTGATACCTGTAGACACGTACATTTCCCACGAGGGAAAATCACAAACTGTATTTTTGCAGATGCGATTTGTCGATTCATATCAGTTTCTATCGTCAAAATTAGAAACCTTGGCATCCTTTTTAAGCGCAGAACAATGTCGGACGGTACGAAAAGTCTTTCCTGAGGACGAAAAGTTCTCCTACATGAGATGCAAAGGTATATTTCCATATACATATCTTAATAGGTTTGATAAATACGATGAAACATGTTTACCATCCCAACAAGACTTTTATGATGAAATACGTGATGAACACATTTCTGACGAGGATTATGAGCGAGCACGTCATGTCTGGGAAGTAATGGGGTGTCAAAATTTGGGGGAATACTCTGATTTTTACTTGACTTCGGATGTTCTTCTTTTAACAGATATCTTTGAAAATTTCAGAGATTTGTGCTTAAAAACGTACAAGCTTGATCCAGCTCACTATTTTACAGCCCCCGGTTTGAGTTGGGATGCGATGCTACGATACAGCAAAGTAGAGTTACAGCTGCTTACAGATGTTGATATGATTCATTTTTTAAAAAGGGAATTCGGGGGGGAGTCAGTACATGTACCTCACGTAAAGTTGAGGCGAACAATAAATTTCTACCACATTACGATCCGTCAAAGGCATCATCGTAATACGATAAATACTATTTAGTTTACCTTGATGCAACAAATTTGTACGGTTATACGATGCAACAGTACCTACCAACTGGTAATTTTGCATGGTTAACACGAGATGAGATGGATAGGATTCAAGAGACAATTACACAGATTTCGGATACATCAGATATTAGGTATGCATTAGAAGTCGATTTAACCATACCGACTGAGCTACATGATTATTCAACGATTTACCATTTTGTCCAGAAAATTTTAACCACCCGACAGTCAAAGCTCAAAATTAATTCCAAATTTGCACAACAAAGAACGCTACATTATCCATTATCGTAATCTAAAGCAATGTTTGAAAAATGGTATTATTTTAACAAAAATTCATAGAGGCATTAAATTCACACAATCTGCCTGGTTGAAGTCCTACATACAGTTAAACACCACACTTAGAATGCAGCACTGAATCCTTTTGAAAGAGATTTGTTCAAACTAATGATCAATTGTATTTTTGGAAAAACCATTGAAACATGGAGAACAGAGTCGACATCAATTAGCTACTCAATTTGAAAAAACATAAAATAGGTGCTGCAAATTATATTAGTAAACCAACTTTTAAAGAGCACAGAATATTTTCTGAAACTTAGTAGCCATTCAAATGGAAAAAACAATGATTGATTATTGTCGTCCACATATGTTGGCTTTTGTATTTTAGATGTCTCAAAAACGGTAATATATGACTTTTTCTATGACTTTCTGAAGCGTCAATATGGTGATAAGGTGTCTGTAGCTTACACGGACACTGATTCGCTAATAGTACATGTTGAAACCGATAATTTCTATGAGGACATGAAATCACACATTACTTTGACACATCCAATTATGATGCTTCCAACCCACATAATATGCCTCAAACAGCGTCAGAGTTGGGTAAGATGAAAGACGAATATGCTGGTAAGATACTGTCTGCATTTTATGGTACAGGTCCCAAAGCATACTGTATAGATGCGGTAGACCAAGTAGCTAAACGAGCCAAAGGTATATCTAAGGCGAGTGTAAAAAATCAGTTACATTTGCTACATTATAAGGATATTGTTGAGGAGAAACGGACATCTGTATACTGTACGATTTATGTATTTAAATCGGAGTCGCACAATATCTACACAAATTATATAAAAAAAGTAGCATTGACCAGTACGGATGATAACGTTTCTTGATACCAAACTCAACAAAGACATTAGCTTGGGGTCATCAAGATATATTATTTCATAACATGTCACATGAGGAGCGCTTGGATACATTACTGCACTTGATGCAAGAAGCCATTGTGTTGAATAATAAGCATCAGATAGCATGATCATAGAATAGGGATTTGTGGTGGGGACAAGATATAAATATATTCTTAACAAACGCACCTCATTCAGTTTCAAAGATGAGTACTACGACATACTATTCACTGTACATGCAATTGTGTCATGTAACTGAAGAGGTGTTGAAAAAACAGCTTCGACAATTTGTGACTCGAAATCCAGAAAAACAAGAATTTCCAGTGCTGGACTTTGTGCTAGATGAAATTACAATACTTGACGAAGTATTCAATTGGATTACCAATGCCCACAGTTGCCATCCCCACGTGCTTTCCAGTGTAATAACAAAAAAGAAACATCTAGATTGGGTGATACAGGAAACACTGCAAAGTTTAAAAGAGAGAGATTATGAGGTTTTAAGCATCAAAGAATTTGGAGACCTACTGGATAATATGCCCTACACACCATCAGCATATGAACAATATTATTTATGTAAGTTGTTATCTGATAGTAACTATGAAGATGTAGATAAACCGCATCCTGTAGAAAATATTACGAAGAGGTATAAAGACATTGTATCACATATCGATGAAAGCATCTGTAAAATCGCATATCTAGCTGATTGTGTATCACTAGAACGTTTAATCGATATTATACAGCAGCATGATATTAAATTTGTATTTGATGTAGAAAATAAGATGAGACATTATACTGTATTGAAATGGATAAAGAAAATATAGCCAAGGGTAACATTGGAGATGAAACCCTCGGATGGACCTCTGGACCCTGTAGTGTTGAAATGGCCATCCACCAAATTCGAAGATTATGTAGCATGTTTAAAGATCTTGTGTGATTTATCCAAAACGTAAATACTCTGTGTGTGACAAAATTCATTAATATATATATCTATGTCAGCATGAACGGTAGTATCATTTTCCCTTGCACTTGCGTCAACTTTTGGGAGGGGAAGTTGGTGAATGGAGGGGTGATCAACACTGTATAAAGTTAGCCACGAAGCTTCATATACCAGTCTTCTGAATTTCACATAACGTACAACATGAGTGCCGGTGTGCAAAACGACAAGGGGGTACGATCTGTACAAAGTGGGGTAGATCAGACACCGTTAATTGTCATCCAGGAGCAACGATATCATCTAAATCCATCGAAATCAAAATGGATAAGCATTGGTCGAGCATATCAGTGGAGCTTCCACCCTGTAATCAATATCAGTGGTTGGAAAAACAATGGCGTTACGTTAAATGAAGAAGACTGGTATGAGATATTAAATCAAGAAGGCGTTATAACCAATTTTTTCTTCAGTGATGATATTTTCCATTCGATCAGTGCCAACTCCGTCTGTATCACCTTTGAGAGATTCCAGATTTTCAAACAATCAAAATTGAAGATCGATGGAGAAACGTCGTTTATTTGGGTAAGGAGACCGTATTGAAGCTATTTTCAATTAGCCCCGCTGATTGCCTACACCATTAATATGCTGAAAACTCAGGAGTTTAATAAGTATTTCAACACACTTGTCCAAGATGTGCGAACCACCAACATGGATGTGCGAGACTTCGTGATCCAACACATCTCTGATTTGCCGCATTCGGAAAACATCAGGACTGCTATGGAACTGGCATACCAACATCCAAACTTGAAGGAATTCAACAAGGCTCCAACGCTGAAATTTTATTCAGACTATCCTAACTATTCTGTAAAGTCATTGTAATTAAAAAGAATTTTAAATTACTTATCGTGTTTTATTGAAAAAGCTGTGTTATAAAACTGATTGGTTTAAATAATATACATGTCATGCAAGTAAATCACTTTTTCTAATCCACGAATTATGTCTGTTATCCAGTCCTAGGTACTTGACTAACACTTTATTTTTTTTTACGTCGCACCACTTTCTCTACAAGATAGATATTTGGATACTTGACTTTTTGAAGCTCCTCAGCATAAAATCCACCTAGAATCTCGTCACCGCTCGAATCAGCCAGTAAGTATGATGTGGGATTGGTATACTGTATTTTACGGATTGTGAAAATTTCATTGGACCAGTTAGGAGTGTATCCTTTAGCAAATGCTGTCCTATGTTTGCTTATGCGGACATGATCTCCACGTTGATATTTTACACCCTTTGGATCTAACGTTTTCAAATGTGTGTATGCCGTTCTCAACAGTGTTTTTGCTGTACTTTTGTTCACGTCTTTGGGTTTCATCCCAATTGTGCTGTGTTTGGTGTTATTATATGCATCAACGATTGATGATAGGAGATCTAACCATTTATACGATCCCTGAAAGCTGAACTGCTTCCACATACGATTCTTCAAAGTGCGATTCACCGTTTCAACTACACTTGCTTTGGTCGCTGAGTAGAAGCTGTAATGATTAATTTTGTACGCTTCCATTAACTTCTTAAAGTCACTATTGTAGAATTCTTTACCCAGGTCTGTTTGTAAATTTTTCGGAATTGTCTGCATTTGCGATAAAATTGTACTCATTGCAGCTGTAACATCTTTTCCAGTTTTTCGTTTGACTTTTTCTGCCCACACAAATTTACTAAAAACGTTGATGACAATTAAAATGTAACGGAATCCTTTGTTAACTTTCTGATACGGAAGCATTTCCACCAAATCTGCCTGTAGGAGATCGTTGATACCCTTCACAATAACGCGTCGACGTCTATAATTTCTGCGAGCCGGTTTATGAAGTTCCTCAATGACCTGCTCTTTAAAGTCCATCATTCTTGTATGATTGGACAGCGCATCACGATATTACCTATAAGGTCAGGTTTTGGTTCATGAGATGAATAGAAGTTCAGAATATCCCCTTTCGACAGGTGTGTGTCGACTTTGACATCACTTTGACCACATTTCACTCTTATTTTGGGAGGTATATTTATACTATCAACTATCCCGGTCACATTAACGATATAGTCCCTACTATTTTCACCAAATGTGTAAAATAATGCGCTGAATGTGTTGGAATAAATGGGTACCACACATACGCTGAATAGTTTAGATGCTAGAAAAGCACTGAAGATTGAAGATATGTCCCTCTTTTTTGAATGGAGCATATGTCTTCCAAATTTATCAATTGGCATCTTGATCGTACAACTGCAGCAACGAAAATAGAGTAATATTACGTTACAACTTCATTTTATAATTTTTAATTCGCGCAACTCCTCAATTATAGACATGATTTCATTATTATACCCGTTATTACCAGCATACGCAGATGCGATGAGCAAGCGCAATCGATTGACCAACTCATTGGGATCATCAAAATACACATACTCAATTGGTTTCGGGGAATACTCTAATATACCACCCCTTACATGTTTGAATGATTGTGATCTGGGTCGAGCTTTAGGAGGTGCCGGTTTCTGAAAAGACCCCGTTTTGCTTGCACCCTCAGCGGATACTTTTATTAGATTGTGTTTTACTAAATATGGTCGAATTATTGTTTTATACTTGAAAGTGTTTACTCCTTGAATTTGTAAATTAGAATCAAAATTACGTCGATATGCATTGGTCCGTTTTAGCATATCCATGTAGTGCTCCAGATCGGTCTGTTTATATCCACGAGGGTCTTTCTTGAACAACAACTCGTACAGACCTGGCGTTCCTGGATATCTGATATTGTCTAAGATTAGATCCGACTCCTCGAGGGTTATTGGGGTATTCCCCAATTTTAATTTTTCGCCGATGCAATCGTGTGTTATACCGTGATATCGATCAAAATTCTCTTCATCCCCCCGTATAGACTCATCGATATATTGACGAGGTAATGGATGGAACTGTTCTAAATAACTTTGATAACCAGGTGTTTTGATTAGGCGCCGAAACTCTTCCCGTGTGTGAGCAATCATTTGCTCGTCAAGATCACGTTCTCGTTCTACTACTGTAGCATCGGGACGTGATTCTTCTATCCCGGAAACGTCTTGTAAAATAGAGTGCTCGGGAAGGTTAGAGAATGTGTCTTCAAGGAAACTTGTAGTAGTGGGGAGGTATCTATTGTATATATTTGTCGGTGTTAATTTCTGTGAAAGTGGTGATTTCTGAGGTGTTGATGTTTTAGATTCTAATTTCCAGTTCTCTGGTTTTACTTTGACTGGCTCTACTTTTTCAAGTAACTGCTGCAGCGGTTTCGATATAGGTTTCCACTGCTTTTGCAATTGGGTTTCCGATTGGGCAATATCCGACTTTAATGCTCGATACTTTTCTTTGACTGCTTGTCTGGCTTTCACCATTTCCTTTGCAATTTTTGGATCCATATCACGTATTATGGAGAGGCTGGCGTAACACTGGTACTGCTAATCTTACACGCTCTTTATATACCACACTATAGGTATATATACTTGTCGAAACCTTTCCGATACCTCCCATTATTTTTGGGTGAATCTTTATCAACCACAACAAAACCGTATGGTTCCTGCCAGCACAGTGAGCAAATATCTTTAAACTGTTGAAACGACATATCCAAGCTAATGTGATCATCGTAAATATGCTTCAAATTTAATGCATCCTGTGCTAAAAGTATGAGAAGATTTGCATTATCTCTTAATAACTGCTTGGGAATTGCTGTGTATGTTTGACACAGGTAGAAGCAATCTGTATTTTTGTGTCGCCCAAAACTAAAGTACTGACGCATTATATCCTGATTACATGATGCAACATCATCAAAAATCATAATCGCATTTGATTCGATTTCCGCTGGAGGCTTAATATCATCACCGTTCGTGTACTCGTAATATCCTATCTCTTTTAGAGGTTCTAAAACTGAGCGAAGAAATTGATACTTTGTTTGGTAGGGTGATTTACAAAACAAATAGACATTTTCATATCGTAATCCGTGAGGGTGTATTAATAGGGTGATCATGATATTAGTCTTTCCAGCACCACTATTACCAACAATTAGAGCCCGTTTAGAAGCACCATTGAACACACTTCCATGTTTTCGGAACGTTTTTTCTTGCACTATTCCATCGTAATTATCTACCTGAAGCTTTGGTATCGTCTGCTCAATTCTCATGATGTTGTGTGATTACTAGTAGCCATCCAAATGGACTCCTATATATAGTACCTCCCGCTCTATTCGTAATAAGAGTATATAATGATTGTGCACTCCACCATGACACGTACTTTCCAGCAGACACCGATCGTGCGAGGTCGCGGCCTCATTTCCAACGTAATAGAAAATTTCCCTTTCGAAGCCCACATCCCAGGTTACAATTTCTGTGGCCCGTCAACCAAACTGCAAAAACGTCTTCAACGAGGAGATGTTGGTATAAATCCACTTGACGAATTTTGCAAACAACACGACATTTTCTATTCTCAGCAGAAAGATCTCACTGCGCGTCAACAAGCGGACAAACTTTTGGCTGATCAAGCTATACAGCGAGCCTTCGCATCCGACAGCTCTTTTGGAGAACGAATGGCAGCTTTGGGAGTTGCTGGAGCAATGAAAGCTAAAAAAAAGATGGGTTTTGGCCTGCGAAAACATCGTACACAACAAAGAAAGAAACGTTTGAACAAGATGGGAAAGGGTTTGCGAAAAAAATCACCAAAATCGCAAAGTTCCAAGCGACGTTTGCGGATTCTGCCTCTACCGAAAACAGGTGGCTTTCTACCTTTACTTCTACCTATACTCGGGGCTCTTGGAGCTCTTGGAGGTGGTGCTGCCTCCATTGCAAAAGCTGTCAATGATGCTAAAGCCAATCAGTCACAACTTGCGGAACAGAAGCGTCATAACTTGGCTTTAGAAGCCTCTCGCAAGGTTTCTCCCACGGGAAAGGGGTTTTTTTTAGCACCGTACAAAAAAAACTGCTAAGGCACCTACCATCCCATGCGCTTTCCGATATTGAACTACTTTACTTTGCAAAACAACTTAACATTCCTTTTTTTCGAGGAGTATTCATGAAAGATCAATTACCAAAGGGTATACAGACTTGTGAAAGTGGAATTGTTAATTTGGATGACTCGTCTGGCGACGGGCTCATTGGGATGCATACGTGAAAAATGGCAATCTTGTCTCATACTTTGATTCATATGGGAATCTGCGCCCTCCACTGCAGCTGATAAGATATTTTGGTAGCAGTGATAAAAATGTTCGCATTGTATACAATTATACTCCAATACAAAAGTTTAATGCTCACAATTGTGGACAGCTATGCTTACAATTTCTATATATTTCTTACTGTTACTCCTAATACAGAAGTTGCTATTCAAACGTTCTACAGTAATGACGTCCCTCACATTTACGCTGTCGGGAACTTCTTCCACTCTCCAATCACATTTTAATCCCCCGCTATATCTTGATGATAATGTGGACTATGAAATCGGGTTGTGCAACTTTGAATCCTTCAATGTTATTCCCAATATAGACGAAACTAATAATAAGTTTCCATGTGACAATGAACTACTTACATTTCCTACAGGCGCATATGAAATTCGAGATATTATTGATTATTTAGATCAAAATCTCCCAGAAGGGAAAATTATTAGCATTACACCTCATATGAATTCCACAACAGTTTCTCTCAAAGCCAATTTTACGATTGATTTTTCACAGAATGGTACCATTGCATCCCTTCTCGGATTTAAACCTCGACGTCTTGACCCAATCATTAGACATACGTCTGATTTTCCTGTGCAAATTTTGAAAGTGAATTCAATATGTGTTGCTTGCAATGTAGCCACAGGCTCATACTCCAACGGTGTGCCAAGCCACATCATCCATCAATTTTTTCCCTCTGTTTCGCCCGGGTATAAAATCGTTGAATCACCTCAAAATATTTTATATTTCCCAGTGAGTGTTAAAGCAATCACAACCATTACCGTCAACATTGTTGATCAAGACGGTCACATAATTAATTTTCGTAACGAGACCATTACACTTCGACTTCATTTACGATCCGGTAACAATGGGCATTAGATATTACGCGCCTCCGATCTCTTTTCCCTATAAAAAGCGAGGTCAGTCGAAACCATCTATTAGTGGTAAGCCGTCCCGCATACGCAGAAGATCATTTCGACAACAATCAACATTGCAACTTACTAACGATAATAGAAAATTTTTGGAAAATCTAGGTTTTCACATGTTGTATGATGAGTATTCTCAACGTTACACAAAAACCTCTTGTTGATAATTCTATTACAGAACTAGAGTATCACACTTATCAACCTTTTATCAATTCCAACTTTGACTACAACGATGAAATTCGCATTGCTGTTCAAGAACTAGATGCCTATACCCTCCCGTCACAAAGTCTTTTGTATCTCGAAGGAGAATTAACCAAAGCCGATGGAACTGCTGTTACGACTAAAAACGCTGATGGAACTACTGTTAAAACTCTGCAATTAATCAATAACGCTTTTGCTTTTCTGTTCCGTGAGCTCCGTTATGAACTGAACGGAGTTGTAGTCGATTCCGTTCGAAATGTTGGTCTTACCTCCACCCTTAAAGGGTATCTGTCTTTAATGAAAATGAGAGTTCACGCTTGCAAAATGCTGGCTGGTTCCCAAAAGACACTTTTATTTCTGAGTCTGGCAAGTTCAATGTTTGTATTCCTTTAAGCATGTGGATGGGATTCTTTGAAGACTATCGAAAAATTCTCCTCAATATGAAACAGGAGTTAGTATTAATCCGTAGTAGTCATGACCTTGATGCTGTTGTAGCAACTACTACATCCGAAAAACCAAAAATTCGGATTGATAAGATTCAGTGGAGAGTACCCCACGTATCTGTTGACATTCCTCAGCAACTAGCTCTTACAAAAATTCTCAACAAAAACATGGAAATTCCACTATATTTTCGCAGTTGGGAACTAGTAGAGTATCCATCACTCCCTGAAACAACGCGTCACACCTGGCCAGTCAAAACTACAACGAAGCTCGAGACCCCTAGACATGTTATCCTAGCCTTTCAAACTAATAAAAAACAAGTATCTACCTCCAATATGTCACAATTTGATCATTGCAAGTTGACCAATATTCGGGTTTTCCTCAACTCCGACCGCTTCCCATATAATGATCTCTCTTTGGATTTTAAAAACCAAAAATTTGCTCTCTTGTATGAAATGTACTCAAAATTCCGCTCCTCCTATTATGAGAGTGAAAATGAACCTCTGTTTTCCCCAAAAGATTTCCTTTCTATTGCCCCTATCACACATATTGATTGCTCTAAACAGAAGGAAAGTATCCAATCTGGATCGGTGGTTATGCGAATTGAATTTGAGACAAGTGAAAATGTTCCTCCGGAAACATCTGCTTACTGTCTCATCCTACACGATCGCGTTTTCACCTACAACCCTTTAACCAAAATTGTTAAACAGCGATAGAGCTTAATCAATCACGATCAATCACAATATAAATATCTTTGTTCAGACTAAATCTCCTTCATTCTCATTATGACATCATCCTACAGACAAGCTCTCAGAGAGTATTATCAGAAATTGCAAAGTTTGAAAGAAGCACTCAATTCCTATTGTCAAAGACGCATTCTATATACAAAATTCTCCAACTTACAAATATGAGTGTCGTTTTGGATGTTCAAGGATTTAAAATTGAAAATAATAAATTTCTCGCAAAAGAATTTTGCGCCTATGATGGTGTTAGGTTATGTCATTATATTTTCAAAGCTCCTTTTCCTTGGGATCTGCTGCCACCACCGTTGAAGATTCAGGCGAAGTGGTTGACTGATAATTACCATGGTATCTCCTGGAATTCAGGGTTTACACCCCTACATAAGTTTGGAAACATTATTAAACATATTGCGGATGTGGCAGACAGAATTTATGTGAAAGGACGTGAAAAAGCAGCCTACCTGAGAAACTTCACCAGCAAACCAATAATCGAGCTTGAAGAGCAGCCCCGCCTCACCCCTTCACCGGCGAAGTGTTTTTACCATACAACAGATATTTGCATGTGTGCGATGTCTAACGTTTTTTATTTGTATGAAAATTTCATCATGTCATAATTTTTGTCAATAAACATATGTTTCTTCATTTAATGTATTTTTTACCCCTTCCTCCCACATAACACTACACAATATTCCTATCTTACAATCTTTATTATTTTATAAATACATCAAAGCGTTGCTTCTTCCCCTCTATTTTTACATTACATTCTCGCAATTTTACTAAACCTACTTCTTACTACTTTTATACATATCACAGACATACCTCCACTTTAATAATTTACACTTTAAACCTTTCTGTAAACACTGTTTGCCTAGAATCTACTGTCAAGTATTTTTTAACACTTCTTCGACTAGTTGCACTCGCCTTTGAAACCTACATCTATCTGCCATCTCCCCGTTACTTCTTCGAGCTTCTCTATATGCATATTGCCATGCATACATGATATGTACTTTGTTTTTTGTTTCGTTGAAGGATACGGTCTTTGGACTAATACTTATATGTTCACCTTCATTGCACATGTTACTTTTGCTGGTGCACTTTTTAGTCACCCCACTACGTTTTCCTTCTACCAACATTGTCTCCACTCTCTTAAACCTTGCTTCCGTTTGCCAACAATACCTCCACCCTCTGAAACCCTGCTTCCTTCACTGCTGCACCTGTCGCAATCTCCTTCTCTCCTGTATAATCCATCTTAGTCTCGCACCACGACCCATGCCTGGAGGTATACTTCTCTGCATGGGCACCTGAATCAACTGATCCGAATTAGAACCTGCTTCATCATCCCAATTCTCTTCCACTGCCACTTCCGGCGACGGATTCCTGACTCCATATCGGCTAACCGGTGTGGTGTCCATGGGTGTTCGGGACCCAGATGGAGGATGCTGCGGTGTGGTGTTCATAGGTGTTCTGGACTCAGATGGTTGATGCGGCGGTGTGGTGCCCATATGCGTTCTGGGCCATGGGTCGTCCCAATTTTCTTCTTCAGGATGTATTCTGTTGAATGGGCGTATAACCGCCACCGGCTTCCCCTCCCACACCGTCGGCAACTTAAATGTTTGTCTTGCACTCATTGTTTGATTCGTGCTGTCTGCTAACAACTGCCTCCTCTCCGAGCGCTGCACTAATTTAAACACATATTTCCAAGGTCATACCGTCTACCATTCACGACTTCAAGGTCACATTTCAAGGTTATATTTCAAGGCCATATTTCGATTCAAGGTCACATTTCAAGGCTATATTTCAAGGTTGCATTTCAAGGTCATATTTCAAGGCCATGTTTCAAGGTTACATTTCAAGGTCACATTTCGAGGTTAAATATGCGTTCAAGGTTGGCTCCCAAGGTCGACTCTCAAGGGCGTTCTAGAACATACAAACCCTACCTACTCACACTTCAAGGTCACTCGGAAACTCAAGGTCACGTTTCAAGGTTGGCATCGAAGGTCAGCTCTCAAGGTCATTTGGCACCGAAGGTCGGCGCAGAAGGGCGTCCCAGAACATACATAGCCTATCTATTCACTGAACTACAGAGCTTTTGTAAATAAAACTAATTTTAAAAAAGGTACAGGTTTTTTGTACTCGAATTTTGAATTTAAAATTGTTTATTCACTCTGCGCTATTTTACGACTTTGGAAGATCATATCAATTTCTCTTGTTATTATCTCGACAAACAAAAAAGTTATCACGATAGTTCTGCGCCATTGTAGGTAATTCAGCAAAAAAAAGAAAAAAAATCATATCTCGGAAACCGTAGCCCTTAGGCGACGTCCTGCGTGAGCGATCTAGACGCGAACGCGAAGCGGCGCGGCGCGGCGCGAAAACAACAAACATTCGAAACCTATTGAAGTGGCCTACGTGACCAAACGCACGTGGGGTGCAGTGCGGAGCGGCGCGAAATGAAGCGAACGCGATCAGTTGGCTTGATATTTTCGCGCGAAGTGGACGCGTCGACCATATTTTTTTCAAGCAAAAATTGTAAAGTCGGAAGTAGAACTTCTTATTAATGCTATCCAAGAACGTCCTACATTATGGGACAAAAGGAATAAAAGTTATCACAACCGGTTATTATCGCACCCCGAATGGGAGGCTGTGGCTAAAATAATTGGGACTATTGATCGACCAGCCAAAGATTGCTAGGGACGAAAGGGGGAAATGCGATGAAAAAACCTTACCATTAGACGATTTTATATGGAGTCATAGGCGGAGATCGGAGAGACTTGAATTATTAATTGAATTTATATTTTATTACAACTGGTAGTATTAATATTTTTTTGCGATTCATAATGACGTGATACCAAACATACATTATAAGAAATAAATATACACAAACACTGAATATTGAGAACAAAATAAATATATTTTTTAGGCAACAAGTAATATTCCTATGTACGCATTATGATTGAACAGCAAAACAAATTATGCATTCTTCTAAAATAGAATACAACAAGTCAAAAATATCTGACTGAATAGAAAAATATAGGAAAACAAAAAGTAATTTCTTGATGAAATAACCCATAAACAACACATAGAATTAGACTTTCTACTGAGATACTAAAAGCCACAAACCAATAGTATAATAAATGAATATCTAAAAATTCTAAAAGGTAGCCAATCTAGTATAGTTTCAATCCTGATTAGAGTCATGATCACTGTCTGAGGAACTGTCATTGCTATCACTTTCACCTCCTATGTTGATTATTATTTCTTCCTGTATTTCTTGAATGAGACTGTCTTTTTCCCAATATTCATCTTCAATTTTTATAACATGTCCAATAACCTTTTGCCAGTCACTGGCACTTACTGAAGCGATGGCCTTATTAGAAATTTCATCTAGTTTTTTTATAGTAAATTCGCCGCTTGTATTATGGCTTCTAATGAAAAATTTTACTTGTGCCCAAATCATCTCTATGGGATTAAACTGACACATATAGGGTGGCGTTCGAAGTGGGGTGTGTCCGAAACTTCTTATTAAATTATCTATCTTATAATTTTTCTCATCAGATGGTGGCCTATGTAGACAAGCTATTTCATAAAGCTCCATTTTTTTAGCATTAGGATCATGCTCTATACCTTTTTTGCTCAACCACGTGATGATGTCTCTTTTTAGAGAAGATCTAGTTGGAGGCTTGTCTTCCAAAGCTGAATGGTAAGGTGCATTATCCATTATTATAATACTATTAGGAGGAATGTTAGGAAATAGTTTTTCAGTAAGCCACTTCGTGAAATTTTCTTGGTTCATTTGACCGTGATAATCACCAGTGGCACAGCCAGCCTTGAAAATGAGACAGGCTCCAGGAACAAAACCATCTTGCGAACCCGCATGAACAATTATAAGTCGTCCTGGAAATGAATAAATAGCCTCATTTTAGTGTTATTTTAAGTTTGCCAACACCTTTTTGAATCACTATGTATAAAAAACATATTTTGAGAAAAAAATACTTGCAAGGGATTATGTATTCAATTAGACAAATTAAATGAGCACTTATTAAGAATATTCCAAAATTGAGAAAAATGTATAATAAGCAAAATCGAGGTGAAAGAAACTTTATTACCTGTAGAACTTATATTGCTCAGGACACCCATAATTTCTTCGCTTTGCCAGCATTTCTTGAAAGTGAGGTCATTATCAACCCAAGTTTCGTCCAAATAAATAATATGCCTTCCTTCTTCCCGGAACTTTTTAATAGACCTAAGATACTTGTATCGCCAATGTAAAATACTGGGTCTTTCCATTAGTAATTTCCTTTTGTTGTGGCATTTACGCCAGTAAAATCCTTTTGCTTTTAAAAGCAGCCTCAACGATTCTTTACCAAATGGAAATTCCATTTCTTCCTTCAGTTTGATTAGAAGTTTACTACAAGTAGGTACCACTTTAAAATCACAGTAAAATTTTTCTATCATTCTCCGAATAATGGAAAAATCGACTCCATCAATTTTTGGATCACAGAAGGGCGTGATCTCTTTTTTCCGGGAGAAGCTAAAGGCTGTGTGGAGGTTGCATTTTGCCTGTCTTTATCTTCTTTTCTAATTTTACTTATAGTTCGTTCACTAACACCCGTATAATATGCCGCCCTTGCATTTCTAGCTACCAGTGGATAAACGAAAGTATTGTTAGCCGCTTCTGCATCGCAAGCACGTATCACGTTGCTATTATTTCCCTTGCCTGGCTGTGAATAACTTTCCCATGCTTGAATTCCATTATCACCACTAAACAGTAAATTATATTTTCAAAGTATTTGCCAACTGCCTACGCCTATGGGAGTAGGTTTATAAATGACCGTGCCATCGGCACGTTATTCTAGTTTCAGATAAGATAAGAGTTTTGACCAATCAGCGACCGGATGTTTACCTGCGGCCTGGGTTTTCCAGCTACATTGCCAAATTCAGCGGAACAATTCTATATCTTAAATATGTTAATATGTATGGACCGCATTTTATGTAGAACATCTGACAACTTCGCAATTTTTTGTCCGCATTCTTTCGGCTTGCAATCTTTCGCTGGTCCAACAGTACAAGTAAGTACAACATATTTCTTTATTATTATTACATTCTTGGCAAAGGATGTTTGCTCAAAATACAGTTTAAAGTTTTCTCTTGCCTTTTGCCTTTGCCTTTTCGGAAAGACATTAATTCATTCTCATTTATTGATTCAAGATCCCTTATAATATTGTGTAGTAAACATATGGCTTTGACGATATGAACTGCATTTGTAACATTCGTTTCGATAGATTTATGTAGAATTCTGAATTTAGAAGTTATTGAACCAAAAGAACATTCCACCACCATTCTGGCTCGAGATAAGTGATAATTATAATATCTTTGGCGTCCCTTTAACCGTTGACTTTTCTGGAAAGGACGCAATAGGTATTTCTTTAGAGGAAACCGCCGCATCTCCAAGGAGCACATACGGAGATATGATATTAGAGCCCGGTAATACTTGTTCTTTAGGTATTTTTAGTCTTCCTTGTTCTATTGCTCTTCGAAAGGGGCATTCTTCAAAAACACCGGCATCGTTGTCTTTTCCATAGGAACCCACATTTATCATTACAAACTTATAATTTGCGTCAGTGACTGCTAACAACCCAATCGAAAAGAAGGATTGTAATTATAATACATGGAAC